CCCCCCCCAAATTATAATGTGAGCGAACCTTGTTTGCCAAATAAAAGAGACTGGAACGATATGGCGGACCAGCTGCCTCAGGCCTCGTCAAAGGGGAGGGCCCTGAGTTTGCTCCTTCCAGGGCATCCCCACCCATAGCTGGGTGCCCGCCCCTGGCCACTGTCAGCGTGTAGTCGGTGGAGGGCTCCCTCAGTGGAGGAAGATTGCAGAGGAGCCTCGGGTGCAGGAGGTCGCGTCCATCCAGTGTCTGTAAAAGCGCCCCCAGGCCCAGGCGTTATAGGAATCGTTGACAGTCACACCCTGGCAGGAGTGGACTGAGGGACGTGCCGGGCAGTGGGACCAGGCCCCGTAGTGTGGGTGCTCACAGGACAGACAGGATCACGTTGGCCTCCGGTGTTCAAACATGTAGGTATGGGAACCCTACTTCCACCACATGCGTCAGCATATAAACCAATATAAATACTGGGCTGTTTACGGTATTCGTTTATGACTTACCTACAAGTTTAGACGTAGTAGGATGGGTGACAACCAGCCTGTTCCTGTAACACAGGTAGGAATGGTCCCCCGTGGTTGAGATCCACAGTAGCTTCTACACTGTGTCTTGTTCTGGTGGCCCAGTCTTGAGACAACTAGTAAAGCAGCAGGTGGCAACCTCTTTGTTCCTCAGAGGAAGATCAGGCCCAGACTGGACAGATATCACACTGAACTGCATAGCGTTTGCTGCTGCTGTGTAGTGGTTGCACCAGGAGTTACTGGTGGGGGTGGGCTGTGCACAGCCAGCTGGGCTGCCTCAGTGAGGGGCCATCACGAGCAGCCTCCCCGTGTGCTCCAAGGCACCCCCGGGCATGAGCCTGCTTGGGGGGTTGTTGGGGAGTAGGATGTCTTCAGCCGGCAGCGAGTCCCATCTCTCAATCACTTGGACTGCTGGTGAGGTTGGGCACTTTTCATAAGTTCTTTGGCCTTTGGTCTTAACCTTCTGTGAGGTCCTGTGCCTGTGTTTTCCTAATTTTCATAATGAGGCATCTGACTGATCTGTAGGAATGCTTAATCCATTCAGGAAACCGGAAATGTATAGGTGTGAGGCCGTATTTAAAACCAGAACTGTCCCAGGGATAGAGTCGAGCATTATGGGGAGGCACAAACACTGATGTGAGGTCATCACGAGGACCCTTGCTCTGTATTCTTTCCCTTCCTACCATTTCTGTTCTGTCCTTGGCTGACCTTCCACGGCACCTCCGCCACCAGGGGCCCACCTGGGGCTGTTCGCCTGGGCACTCGTGGCCTTCTAGGGTCTGACCATCCTTTTTGCTTTCCTGACGTTCTAAATCCAGAATCTTGACCCGTTGCAGAGAGGCTGAGCTCCATGAAGGCAGGAGTGATGTGATGTGCTCTTACTGCCTCAGGAATTATTAGTCCTTGTTGATTGAAATGTGTGACTTTAGGGTAAGAAACAGGACTGGACAACAACACTGATCTCTGTGCTACACCATATTCTGGTTATCTCTTCCTGTGAAAAAAGCAACAATCCCATAACACTTAGTGGTTCCTGAATCTACAATGCTGGCTGGCCGTGTGGGCATGGCTCATCTCTGCTCACACAGCTCTAGCTGGGGTGGCCGGACTCAGTCTGGGGATGCCACTTGCACATGGGTGACCGTTTGTTGCTGGCTGTGTGCTGAGAGCTCATCTGGGACGTCGACCACGCAGAGCTTCCCCCGTGGGTCCCGCCTCGGGGCTGCTTGAGCTTCTTCACAGCGTGGCATCCGGGTTCTGAGGAGTGTTGCAAGGAAGTGGAAGTCACCTGCCCCAGGCCCAGGGCGCCCAGCATCCTTTCTGCTACGTTCTATTGGTCCAAGCTGTCATAGAGCCTGCCCAGATTCCAGGGGGCAAGATATGTAGTCCCCTTCCTCTCAGTGGGTGGAGTTCAAAGGATCTGGGGCCACCTTTAGCCACCACATGCTAACAGACTCCTCCTCCCATGACTTTCCTTTAGCCCTGACGGCCGCTGCAGGACGAGGGAAGCTGGAGGTCTGCGAGCTGCTGCTGGAGCGTGGGGCTGCTGTGTCTCGCACGAACAGGAGAGGGGTCCCCCCACTGTTCTGTGCGGCACGCCAGGGGCATTGGCAGGTACCCAGGGGACCCTGGATGCTTCAGAAGCAATGAGTGGGATAGAGTTCACTATTGCCCATCTCCCCTGCTGGGCCCTGTCTCTTTCATGTTCTTGATTCCTGCTTGTGCTCTTTGGAAAAGGAAGCATTTTTCCCTCTGGTCCTGCACCTTGATTTGGCTGGTTTCTTTTACTGGATGCGACATATTGCTGCTTTCAATTCAAGGCAACAAGGGGTCCTTGTGAGCAGCTCTTCAGTCCTTTACTTCTTCATTTTGTAAACAGTGACCACGTATCTACCCCATGCCTGGCACCAGGTTACACACAGGTACAGAAAAGTGGATCTCACCATGTCCATGATAGGAAGAATTTTCTAGACCTGGGTTTACATCATGGAGTCGCGTCAGGCCTGATTCCTGCCATTTCTGTTGGGAGGAGCTGGGAATGCTCCCCCACCAAGATTTTGGCTTCTCCCCTACCCTCTTTCCAAGCGCCTGGTGCGCCCTGTCCGTTCCCCTCCACCCTCACAGCTCCGCGCGATGCCCCGGCTAAACCCCTCTCCTGGGCTCAGTGCTTCCTGAGCTGTGGGGAAGCTGGGACATGTCTTCAGTGTGTTGAGAACAAGAAGACGGTGGGGCTGTGCCACCTTCTGTTGCTGTTGTGGCGAAAAGACAAGAAGGAGAGAGACTGGACCTCTGGGCAGGGCCGTTCCTGCCGGGATGGTCGTCGTAGGAAGCGCCACGCTGGGATTTCGTCCCCTTTTCACCATGCACTTTTAACGCATAATTTTGACTCTCCTCCAAGAATCTTTGCTAAAAACCCCTCACCTTGACGGTCCAGGATCCAGCTGTCCCCCCAGTCCCCAGCCTTGGGAAGCCGATTGCTGAGGACAGAGGGTGGGCGGGCGTCTCCCCTGCAGGAGCGCGGAGCCCGCACCGCACGGGCCCTGACCCGGTGCTCTCCCTGAGGCTGCGCAGCCGCCCCTTGGGCCCCACGGTGGCAGTCCTGTCATCACTTGACTGCTTGGTGTCCCCCCACCCCCAAATTTCTGCCATGTAAGTGCATGCTCTATGGATACAGCATTGAATTGGGCGTTTTAAAAAGAAGATGTATCTGGAAGCAGATTCTGTTCAGAGGAACACAATAGAAAGA